AAACGCTTTGCAAACGGGTCCATGAAACAAAGCAGAAGGGCGGCTTGTAGATAGTGAATTAACCAGGCTTCCAGGAAGTTTGAAAAACAATTCTGGAGGAGTCCAGTAACTTATCACCATCATCATCAATAACACACAGTAACAACAGTTATCAGTTTTGTTTTTTTTAAGATTTTATTTATTTATTTGACAGAAAGAGACACAGAAAGAGAGGGAACACAAGCAGAGGGCGTGGGAGAGGGAAAAGCAGGCTTCCCGTGGAGCAGGGAGCCCGAGGCGGGGCTCGATCCCAGGACCCTGAGCTGAAGGCAGACACTTAACAGACTGAGCCACCCAGGTGCCCCAGCTATCAGGTTTTTGTTTTTTTTTTAAGATTTTATTTATTTCTTTGTGAGAGTGAGAGAGAGAGCACGAGCAGGGAGCCCAATGCGGGGCTTGATCCCAGGACTCTGGGATCATGACCCAAGCCGAAGGCAGATGCTTAACGACTGAGCCACCCAGGCACCCCCCCAGCTATCAGCTTTGAGTACGTAGTATGTACCACATACATGCAAACGCACACGCATGCACATGCACATGCATGTACACGCACACATAGGTAGGCTGGCACACCCAAGTCAAGGCAGTCTTATCTTCTGTGGGTCCTCTATTCTGTACTGGTCTTGGAAACTTTTGCCCAGGACCTATGTTGTGGGATTCAGTGTAAAATAAAAATGCAGAGCATCTTGTTCAAAACTATGGTGAATTTCAAGGTAGCAATAGCACAAGTGTGGAACCTTTTGAGCAGAAAGCTCTGTGTGGTGACAGAGCTGTCAGGCCTGTGAAGCAGAAGCCCCTGCATTCACCTCCGAATAACCAGGTGCATTGCTCAACCTTCTGTCCACTGGGAAGACATCCCCCCACAGCTGGGGCATAGCGTGAGAGCAGTTCATTTTCAGTATGTCTCCTTCACACCAAGACATAGCATCCTTCAACCGAGCCTGGGCTTTCTCCCTCTCCGTTAGCCATTTGCTGGGGACCCCACCTAATGCATGGGTGTGAGCTGAGTGCGAGCAATCAGTGCGACAGCATTAGGTGACACTGGTGCTCGAGCCACCTGTCTATGCAGATTACTTGTACTATTTGGGCCTGGCCAGGCTTGATCTGGGATAAATAAGAAAGCAAATGGCTGGATAAAGATATAGCAAGCTACCAGTGAGCGCTGGAAAGCTGCAGAGGCCATAGTAATAACAGAAAAGTAAACTTCAAGAGAATGGCTGTGACCCAAGCTAAGGAGAGAAATCCATATGGATAAAAGGACCCATGCATTGGGAAGTCATAATAATAATCATATATGTGTACGTATCCAGCAACAGACCTTCAAAATAGTTGAGGAAAAACTGACAAGAAAGGGAAAAACTTGACTAATCTATAATAATCGCTGAAGATTTTTACACCCCACTGCCATCGGTGGATAGAAGAGCTGGACTGAATAATGAGAAAATGCAGAGAAGAAAATGCAAGAAGAACGTTGTCAACTACCCCGCCCATAGCTGACATTTACAGAACACTAAACTCAACAGCTGTGGCACCCCACCTGTGATTCCCGCAGACGTGGCACCTTCACCAAGATAGACCATATGCTCACCCATCAAACAATACTAATAAAATTTAAAGAAAGTACAGAATATGTTCTCTGACCACCATGGAAGGAAATTAAAAGAAGTAACAATGAGATATACAGAAAAATCTCAGATATTTGGAAATAATACAACACACATCTAAAGAATTCAGAGCTCAAAGGAGACATCTGAAGGGAAATTAGATAACATCATGAATGGAATGATAAAACTAAATATATCAAAGCTTGTGGGACACACTGAAGCAGTAGTTAAGGGGAAACTTAGAGCTTAAAACACATTATAGAAAAGTGGAAAGTAGGGGTTAGTTCAACATTCTCATGGCTTTGTGGTTACAGTGCAGAGTATGAACCTTGCAGGGCGAAGTACTCCTTCTCCTGATCTCCCTGCCTGCAGGCTCTCCCATCCCCTCCATATGGTAGCCCTGAATATCGTTCCAACACACAAATCTGATTGTGTCACTCTCCGGCTCTAAACCCTCTCATGGCTCCCCATTGCTTCAGGATGAAATTCAAAATGCACCTGGCAAGCTGGCCTTTTGTGACCTTTACTTTTGATATTACTCCCTGTTTGCCACTGTGTTACCTCCAGCTTTCTGAACTGTCTCTTGAAATCATGAGTTTTTCTCTCTTTTCTGTCCTAGAGCTAGGGTTCCAGATAAAATGCAGGACTCCCAGTTAATTTGAATTTCAGATATGTAATGAATAAGTTTTTCATTTTTTATTTTTTAAATTTTATTATGTTATGTTAATCACCATACATCACATCATTATTTTTTGATGTAGTGTTCCATGATTCATTGTTTGCATATAATACCCAATGCTCCATTCAAAGAATAACTTTTTAATATAAGTATGTCCCCAAAACTACATGGGGTATATGTATATATATATAAAAAAAGTCTTCATTATTTATCTAAAGTTCAAGTTTAACTGGGTGTTAAATTTTTATTTTTTAGGGCGCCTGGGTGGCTCAGTTGGTTAAGCGACTGCCTTCGGCTCAGGTCATGAACCCAGAGTCCTGGGATCGAGTCCCACATCAAGCTCCCGGCTCAGCAGGGAGCCTGCTTCTCCCTTTGACCCTATCCCCTCTCATGCTGTTTCTCTCTCTCTCAAATAAATAAATAAATAAAATCTTAAAAAAAAAAAGTTTGGAAAAAAAAATTTTATTTTTTATTCGCCAAATCTGGCAACCTCACCCAGAACTAGCACATGGTATTGCATCTGCCCTTTCTCTGCTTCTGGGCATGGCTGACTCCTCTTTCTTAGACAGGCCTCAGCTTAGAAATAACCTCCCCCAAGAAGACGGTTCTCCCCAACCCCCTTTCTCCAGGTCTGTCTCATTCACTGCTAACTCCTTGGCCCTTGGAACAGTGTCTAGCACTTGGTGGACACTCAACAAATATTTGTTGAAGAAAGAAGTGCTGACCTAGGTCCCAGCTCCAGGGACAACGAGCTGGCCCATTTCCCGCCTCCCAAGCCTGTGGCCCCCAGTTTGGGGAGGGGGGCAGGGGATGCATCTGTTATCTATGGCTACACACAAACCACTCCAAAAATTAGGGACTTAAGACAGCACAATCATGTAGTTTGCACGAAAAGCTGTACAACAGGGAGAGCTCCGCAGGGACAGCTCACCTCTGCCCCACATGGCGTCAGCTGGGGCTGGAAGAGCCACTTCCAAGATGACTCACTCACCGGGCTTTCGAGTTGCTGCTGCATGCGGCTTCTCTCCACAGGGTGGCTTGGACTTCCTTACAGCATGGTGGCTGGGATCCAAGAGCAAGTATCTCAAAAGAGACAGGAAACGGCAGATACTAGGCTTTTCCACACTATTCTGTGCCTTAAGCAGTTGCAGTTCCTATTTAAGGAGAGGGGACAGAGACCCTGTCTCTTACTGGGACCAGTGCTAGAGAATTTTGTGATCATGTTTTAAAGTCACCACAGGGGAGAATACTCACCACAGAGCCCATGATCTGCACCTAGTCTGGGTGGATGATTGTCCACAGGATGGGATGCCTTTCTCTCTACAGGTCAGTGGTGCCACGGGGCTAGTGTGTTCAAGGCAGCCTTGGAGTGGGATAGGACAGGAGAGAAGAGAGAGACAAGAGACAGAGAGGAAGGGGGGATGAGAGATAAGGAAAGAGTCTTCCCTTGAAGGAATGAGGACTGAGCAACCCAACCCACGTAGGCACTTAAAAATCTGTCTGAATGGAGGCCACACAATTGGCACCTAGCATGGGTCCCTTGGGATGTTGTAAGCAGAAATTTCAAAGCTGTATTTTCTTTTGTTTTTGAACAATTTCAAACTTATACAAAGTCCAAGAATAGTAAAATGAACAACCTACACATCTGACACCTAGTTTCACCAATGGTTAACATTTTGCCACTTCTGCTCTTTGAAAGTAAGTTACAGGGCGCCTAGGTGGCTCAGTCGGTTAAGCGACTGCCTTCGGCTCAGGTCATGATCCTGGAGTCCCGGGATTGAGCCCCACATCGGGCTCCCTGCTCGACGGGAAGCCTGCTTCTCCCTCTCCCCCTCCCCCTGCTTGTGTTCCCTCTCTCGCTGTGTCTCTCTGTCAAATAAATAAATAAAATCTTTAAAAAAAAAAAAAAAGAAAGTAAGTTACAAACAAGACATTTCCTTCCTAAAGCCTTCAGCCTGCATCCCCGCTCCCCCAAGCGCTGTACTCTCCGCACCAATGGTTCTCCACTGGGGGTGATTTTGTCCCTCAGGGGATATTTGACAATGCCCAATGCAAACATTTTTAAATTATATTCTTTATTGAGAAAAAATTCACATCACGTAACATTCACCATTTTAACCATTTTCAAATGTACAGTCCAGTGTGTTTTTGTGTATTCGTGACGTGATGCAACTGTTAGTACTACCTAATTCCACAAGTTTCTCAGACATTTCTGCTTGTTGCAACTGACAGGGTGCCGTGCCTCTGACACCTAGTGGGCAGGGACCAGAAGTGCTGCTGAGCTCTCAGGAGCATTATCTGGCCCTAATGTCAGTGTTCCACACAATTACATCTGAGCACAACAACAGTAACTGAGTGTTGTCGTCCCCACTGGTCTCAAGGATGCCTTTTTAAAATTCACTTTAGAGGGGCACCTGAGTGGCTCAGTCGGTTAAGCGGCTGCCTTCGGCTCAGGTCATCATCCCAGAGTCCTGGGATCGAGCCCCATGTCGGGTTCCTTCCTCAGCGGGGAGCCTGCCTCTTCCTCTCCCTCTGCCTGCCACTCCCCCTGCTTGTGCTCTCCCTCTCTCTATCTCTATCAAATAAATAAATAAAATCTTTAAAATTCACTTTAGAGATTGATAGGGGGAGAGTGTGTGTGTGAGGGGAGGAACAGAGGGAGAGAGACAAGCAGAGTCGGTGCTGTGCAAAGAGCCCAATGCGAGGCTCCATTCCATGACCCTGAGATCATGACCCGACCCGAAACCAAGAGTCAGATGCTTAACCGACTGAGCCACCCAGGCGCCCCTGTGTGTGTGTGTTTCTAAAGATTTTATTTATTTATTTGACAGAGAGAGAGGGGGAGAGGGAGGGAGCACAAGCAGGGGGAGCAGCAGAGGGAGAGGGAGAAGCAAACTCCCTGCTGAGCAGGGAGGGAAAATATGAGGCTCGATCCCAGGACCCTGGGATTATGACCTGAGCCGAAGGCAGATGCCCAACCGACTGAGCCATCCAGACATCCCTGTGGCTGTCATCTTTCATCCAACATTATGTCTGGGAGATTCATCCCTGTTGTGTACAGCAGTTCATTGTTTTTATTGCTGTGTAGTTTCCCACAGTATGAATATATCATTATTCATCCATTTTCCTGGTGTTGGATATTTGGATTGTTTCCAGTTTTTAGCTATTATGAATAAAGTTGCCAAGAATATTCTATACATGCATTTTAGTAGAAATCACACTCAGTTCTCCTGGGTTTGTACCAAAGAGTGACCTTGCTGGATCATAGGTCAGGTGTAGCAGTTATAGTGAATATTGCAGTTTTCTAGCTTACCTCTTACCAGTTCTAGTTACTTCATATCCTCACCAACACTTGGTTTTGTCAATCTTTTTAATTTTAGCCAATGTAATTAGTGTATAACAGTATCTCGTTATGGTTTTATTTTTTAAATTTCTTTCTTTATTTTTGAATTTTATTTATTTATCTTGAGAGAGAGAGCACACATGAATGGAGGGGGGGCAGAGGGAGAGAGAGAATCTCAAGCAGACTCCATGCTGAGCACAGAGCCCAACATGCGGCTTGATCTCACGACCCTGAGAACATGACCTGAGCCGAAATCAGGAGTCGGATGCTTAACCAACTGAGCCACCCAGGCACCCTGTCAGTTCAACAAGCATGTGGAAAGATGCTCAATATCACTAGAGAAGTTTCATTCATTCAGAAATGTGAATTAAAATAACGAGGGGAACCTGGTTGGCTCAGTTGGTAGAACATCTGACTCTTGATCTTGAAGTTGTAAGTTCAAGCCCCACTTTGGGTGTGGAAATTACTTATATATATATATATATGTTATAAATATATTATATATATATTATACATATATATTACTTATATATTCTTTATATACTCTGCAGGAGTTTTTTTTTTTAATACATGTATCGCCACATTCTTTTTCCAGTTTGTAATTTATCTTTTCATTTTCTTAAATATCTTTAAATTTTTTTTAAGGTTTTTATTTATTTAACAGAGCGATAGAGAGCACAAGTAGGCAGAGCAGCAGGCAGAGAGAGAGGGAGAAGCAGGCTGTCCGCTGAGCAGGGAGCCCGACACGGGGCTCCATCCCAGGACCCTGAGTCGAAGGCAGCCGCTTAACCGACCGAGCCACCCAGGCACCCCTCTTAAATATCTTTAACTAATGACCATAAGTTCTTAATTTTAATGAAGTCTAATTTATCAACCTTTGATGCTGAGAGATTTCTGAGTCTAGTCTTTTATTTCTGTTTTAAAATATTTTATTTTATTTTTTCTGAAAGTAGGCTCCACACCCAACATGGGGCTCGAACTCATGACCCCGAGATCAAGAGTTGCACACTTCACCGACTGAGCCAGCCAAGAGCCCCATTTGTGTCTTGTTTAAGAAATCTTTGCCTAGGGGGGCGCCTGGGTGGCTCAGTTGGTTAAGCGACTGCCTTCGGCTCAGGTCATGATCCTGGAGTCCGGGGATCGAGTCCCATATCAGGCTCCTTGCTCAGCAGGGGGTCTGCTTCTCCCTCTGACCCTCCCCCCTCTCATGTGCTCTCTCTCTCTCAAATAAATAAATAAAATCTTTAAAAAAAAAAAAAAAAGAAAGAAATCTTTGCCTAGGGAACGCCTGAGCGGTTCAGTCAGTTAAGTGTCTGCCTTTGGCTCAGGTCATGATCCCAGGGGTCTGGGTTCGAGTCCCACATCAGGCTCCCTGCTCAGCAGGGAATCTGCTTCTCCCTCTGCCTGCTTCTCCACCTGCTTGCGTGTGCTCTCTCTCTCTGACAAATAAATAAATAAAATCTTAAAAAAAAAAAAGATATCTTTGCCTAGGGGCACCTGGGTGGCTCAATCAGTTAAGCATCTGCCTTCAGCTCAGGTCATGATTCCAGGGTGTGGGATCGAGCCCCACAGTTGGGAGCCTGCGTCTCCCTCTCCCTCTGCTGCTTCCCCTTCTTGTGCTCTCTCTCTGTCAGATAAATGAAATCAAAAAAAGAGAAATCTTTGCCTAGTCCAAGGTTATAAAGATATTCTATGTTTCTCTACAAGTTCCACTGTTTTACCTTCACAATTATGCTGATGCTCCTTCTGAAATTAATTTTTGTGAAGGCCTCAAGGTACAAGTAAAACCGATAGTCACTTACTTACTCCAACACCATTTCACCACTTACATAAGTTTGCATAATTCATTTTCAACCATTCTTCTTTTCTAATGTAGGCACTTAAATACACACATGACTTCAGTTGCATCCCATTAGTTTTGATATACTGTGTTTCATTATCATTTAATTTGAAACATTTTCTAGTTTTCCCTTGTGACTTCTTTGATTCATAGATTATTTAGAAATGTGTCCAAGAGCATAAGGACACTCAGCACAGCTCTGGCACCGACTGAGCCCACAGCCTCATGGGGGCTGAGTCGAGTGGGGGTGGGGCAGCTGCTTGCTTTTGTCTGTGCCCCTCCTGGGAGCTCTGTAGGTGGGTGAATGGTTTCCACCACCAAGAGGTGTGTGGGGAGACACCGGAGGGCAGCATGTCTGCTAACCCCCTGGCCCTAGCATGTGCGTGCATGTGCGTGTGTGCACGCACACACACACACCCCCACCCCGTGCACCTGCGCGTGCACATACACATACCATCCTTCTCCAGCTCTAAAACACGCCCAGAGCCATGCGAGGAGGAAAGGAAAGCAGGCCGGCCCCTTCTTAGGTGAGCGATCAGAACTAAGTCACTTAAGCTGTAAGCCTGAGCTCTGAAAATGGGGATGGTTTATTTCAATGTTCTGCTGAGAATTAAATGTATGGGATGGGAGTCTTGCTGTGAGGCATTGGATAAACTTGTAGCAGGTAAAGGGCTGAGGTAGGGAGGAAAACTTGCTTCTATGCCAGATCCTGACACAAAGTCTGGCTTTGGCCAGAGATGTGGAGGAGGACCCCTACCTAGGACTTAGTGGAGACAGTTTACACAGGGCCTACTGGGGCAAAATTGGGAAGTGGCCAGCAGGGCTGCTCGCGGAGGGGCACCCTGTGAGCTCCTCCTCACATGCTGGGCTGGGCCTTGGTGCTGGGGTGAGAGTTGTGCTCCAGAGGTTTAAGCAAGAAGGTTATCCTTTCCAACCAAGGTCCCCAGATGACCACTCCCCGGGGGACTCCACCCTCTCCCAGCTCTTATATGTCTATCTCCCAGGCCTTCTTCCCAGCTGGAGGCAAAAGGGATGGGAAGGGGTAACAGCAGAAAGGAGGGGGTCCAGAGGACTCTGGGAGCTGCCGTAGCTCTCGCTGCTTTCTCTAGCTGACCCTGGGCTCACCCTGAGTCTGTCAAGCCAGGTACCAGGGCAGCCCTGTGCCCAGGGCCTTAGGCAGCATCTCCATGCCTATATCTAGAGTTCTGTAGCCTCTGTTCTTACCTGCACAGAACCCGAGTGGCAGGAGGGATGAGCAGGTTGCACAGCTCCTGGGGCTTTAGCAGAAACAGTAATTCCTGGGGCGCCTGGGTGGCTCAGTCAGTTATGCATCTGACTCTTGATCTCAGCATGGGTCTTGATCTCAGGGTTGTGAGTTTGAGCCCCATATTGGGCTCCATGCTTGGCGTGGAGCCTACGAAAGAAAGAAAGAAGGAAAGAAAGAAGGAAGGAAGGAAGGAAGGAAGGAAGGAAGGAAGGAAGGAAAGAAAGAAAGAAAGAAAGAAAGAAAGAAAGAAAGAAAGAAAGAAAGAGTCATTCCTAGGATAAGAATCATTCCTAGGTAGCCCGACGGTTCCTGTTGTGAAAACACCTTTGTTCCCGGGCTTTAGCTGAGCCACTGAACATCCCCAGGGAGTTGGGTTGCTCCATTCTATGGGGATAGATTAGGAACAATGAAGGGGACATCCTGGGCACCCCCTTCCCAGCCCAACAGTGCCATGCCTCTGTGAAGAGTTGATGGGGACTCAAAGTGCCCTTACCCAGAGATCCTGTAAAATTCAGGGGTCCTCTCGGGATGCCTGCGTGGCTCAGTCAGTTAAGCATCTGCCTTTGGCTCAGGCCGTGATCCCAGAGTCCTCGGATCCAGCCCTGCGTTGGGCTCTCTGCTCATCCGGGAGCCTGCTTCTTCATCTTCCTCTGCCTGCCGCTCCCCCCTGCTTGTGCGCTCTCTCTCTCTTTCTCTGTCAATTAAATAAATAAATAAATAAATAATCAATTTTTAAATTCTGGGGTCCTCTCATCACCTGGAATGGAACAATCCCCTCACCACTCTGTGTGGGCTTCCTGTGAGTGCGGAGGCTGATGTCTGCCTGTTTGAACATGCTGACAGTTAGAAATCACCCTGAGACAGAAGGTGATGTGCTGCAACCCCCCTAGAAACAGAATATTTCACACTGAAAGGTGGAGCCTGGCAGATGGGAGGAAGGACTGGCTACCTCTGCAGGCATCTGGCAGTTGACGCTGGGTTGTAGATGTCTTCAGAGGGGCCTGGGGTTGGAGTTTAGGATGGCCTTTGCCATACCGGCAGGGCCCAAGCACCCAGACTGCAAGCCACATCCTATGAACCAGACTAGCTGGGCCTACTTGTCTTTGGCACCCCTGGGCCTTTGTGAAATTTCCTCTAAACACTCCAGCCATAGCTCAGTTGTTCTGGGGACCCCTAATGAAGGGCCCACTTCCAGCACTGAAAGTGAGGATGGTAGGGGGAGGGGGGACTGGGAGTTAGAGTAAGGCCTGAGGGTAAAGGGTGTCTCTGGGCCTGAGCCCCCTTGCAGTCTCTCCATCAGCTATCTCTGTACCTTGCTCCATCTTCCCTTGGTTTGGCTCCATTCTACACTTTTACTGCAGCAGGAAAGCCCACAAAGCCTGTCTGACCTCAGAATCAGGAGTTTCAGGACACCACAGCCTCTGACCTACCTTCCAAGTCTGGAAGCCTTGGCATAACGCTTTTCATGTAGCAGGCACTCAGTAAATTGTTCTTGCATGAATGGGAGAATGGCAAGGGCTGGCATTCGGCATTCAGGCGGCAAACACGACTCTCTCTTCTAGGATCACCTGATCACGGAGGAATCCCTCCCATCTTAGGGCTCAAGACAGCAGCCTGAAATAACCCCCATCCATCCTGATTCCCCCTCCCGGAATAATTGAGGGGACCACACCTCTCCAGGCAACCTCTGCCTTTTGGAAGTCCTACAGATGAGCCACAGGGGCAAGGGCAGTGTGCTGGAAGGGGGTCTGGTTTTCAGAACAAAGTTGGATTGGGAGAGCCAGTGGGTGCTCTGCTGCCCCCTTCTGGACAAAGTAGGAACAGTGCCCTTGGAGGTGAGGACTACCTTGAGGAGGGAAAGGGACAGAGGTCGGGGTCAAGCCCCGCTCCTTGTCCTCATACTTGATCTCCCGCACAGAGCAACTACATTCTCCTCTTCCTCTCCCTGAAGTCAGGGTGCCTACATTTGGGTCCCTCCCCAGCCTCACCAAGTAGGCACTGCCTCCCCCCAGGTCTCCCAAATCCAACGCGAAGAACATTTCTGAAGGTCTTTTTGTCAACAAGCATGATCCTGGGAACATCAGTTCCTGACCAGTAAAATCACCCCCGTAGTATTTATACTCATTAGCAGATGAAACGGGCTTGGGGGGGGGGAGCTTTTATACACTACTAGCTGTAGGCAACTGCGTTCATCGGGAGGAAAGATAAATATAAGGATCAATAAACCCAAGGGAAATAGAAAATCGTAGGAAGGCAGAAACTTAATTGTAACAAAATTTGATAAATCGGGCCAAAAATTGGTTATTTGCAAAAACAAATAAAATTTGATAAGTCAACGGAAATTTCACTTTAGATAGAGATGCAGATATAGATATGGATATGGATATAGATATAGAGGAAGAGCTATGACCAGAAACCCACAGGTAATGTTTTGGGCTAATTCAGTGGTTGTGGGAGGGGGCTAGGTGACACAGTGCTGGAGGGCAGGAGGACAGGGTGGGAAAGGATATAAACAAATGTCGATTTCTGGACTGCAGCTGGGTGGCAGGAGAGCTCCTGGGCTCTTGTGGCTACGAGGCTATGAGGCTATGAGTCTGAGCCTGTGCACACTCACAGCAGTGATACAATGTAGAGGTGGCTCTAGATGTTTGCTGATTGACTCACTGACTGAATCAACTCTGGGAGTAGCCAACTCTCTGACCCTGGGCGGGTCGGGGAAGGGGGAGAAAAGCGTCTACTGACTGCTCAACAGGCTGGGGCTCGTCCGGTGGGAACCAGGCTTGGAGCAGAGCGTGTACCAGTGTTAAGCTGTAGAACTAGGCAGCTCGGTAAACCATGTGCCAATCATGGGTCCAGAAAACTTACATTGTCCCTAGTGTGGCTCCACCCCTGACTCTTACTCAAGCTTCATCAATGAGTAAAAGTTTCCTCTCCCAGAAAGCCTTCCCCAGCCAACTTCCTGCTCCTCCCTCAGCTGGGGTAGATGCCCCTCCTAGTCCTACAAGCTCCTGGGGCATTTTTCTACCAAAGCATTTATCCCATTTCATTTCAGGTAATTCTCTTTGTTTTTAATTTTTATTATGAAGATTTTCAAACCTACACAAGGATAGCAGTCATGCGATAACGAAGCCCGTGTATTCATCACCCAATTTCAACAAATTACCAACTCATGAACAATTTTATTTCATCTATATCATGTCCTGCTATTCCCCCTCCCTTGGATTATTTCACATCATTTTATCAGTAAATACTTCATTATATTTCTCTAAAAAAAGCTACTTGAGGGCGCCTGGGTGGCTCAGATGGTTAAGTGTCTGCCTTCGGCTCAGGTCATGATCCCAGCATCCTGGGATCGAGTCCTGCATCGGGCTCCCTGCTCCTTGGGAGCCTGCTTCTCCCTCTGCCTC